TAAAAACCAATTTAAAGTCTCTGTGGAAAAAAGTGTGGAAAATGTCACCTTAGGGGCTCCGTACAAATGACTAGCTGGTGATACTTTTATATAACGTAAGGTACCATCAGTACCTGGGAGTCAACTGTTTAATCATCTTATTTGAATATCTGAAATAGGCTGACATTTTCTTGTTGACTGTATAGTGAACATTGCTAACCCATGATGATCAGTCAGTTTGATGTGCCCGCTGATTTTGGTCTGCACCGGTTGCATTATAATGATTATTAGCTAGGATTAGATGCCACTTGCAGGTTAGGATGATAATTTAAACAATTTTTTTGGTATACTGAAATCCCTTCAAATAACTATGAACAGTTCCAATTATAAAGCAAAGCAATTAAGTTCATTTCACAAGTACAAGGAGGGTTAATTCTGAATTGAATGAAGTACAATATATACCATATTGACAATAACTATTTTTGTATGTATGTAGTGATAGTCTCCAAAGCAAATTTTATTTTATTTGTTCACCATTCTTCTATGGTATTTTAATAACTATTATATTTCATTCCAGTTTTACCTTTTCATTCACTTTATTAAGTCCCATTATATATAAAGAAGCAGTCAATTTTTGAACTACCTATAGATTTTTGTAATTTTGTAAAGTATCCCATAAAAGGCACAAAGCTAATTCATTTTAATGTAATGTTAATTACTTTTAAACATCTTTAACACCCTGTAAAATTGTTATTCTATTGTCAAACTGAGATTTTCTTTTGTCAGAAGTATGTCAAAGTTGCAATTTTATTTTAGTATATCCCAAATAGATCATTGACCATTTTAAAATCAATTCAATACATTTGAGCCGTGTCACTACAAAAGCAACATAGTGCGTTTGTGACCAGCATGGATCCAGACCAGCCTGCGCATCCGCGCAGTCTGATCAGGATCCATGCTGTTCGCTATCAGTTTCTCTACTTGTTATAGGGTTGGTAAGCGAACAGCATGGGCACGGATGCGCAGGCTGGTCTGGATCTATGCTGGTAGCAAACCCATTATGTTGGTTTTGTCATGACGTGGCTCATTTTTTAATACAATCTTAATAGAGATATATAGTGTTAAAAAACCCATAATATTTCAATCACAATGTATAGGGAATCATAATACATGTATTCAAATATTGGCTGAATATGAATGGAACATGAATATTCTTTTTATACTTGTTCTTTGTTTTCCTGTTGAATTAGATTATTTTACAAATTTAGGACCCTTATCTGTACATACTGATGATGCAAAACTAAATTATTACTGCAGCAGGTGTGTTTGTTAATTGCACAAAATAAATTGTCTACATACAAGGGATGCCTAAGAATAATTTCTTCAGCATTAAAAACTGAATAAAAGGTTTTTTTTACAATAATATTGTAAAAACTTAATGCTTCAAACAACTATATTTTATAATCTGTTAATATATATTGATTTAACATGGATTTTTTCATCATGAACTATTTCATTTCTTGACTTTAAATTAGTTTTCAAATTGCAAGCGTAATCTTGGTCTGACCATACCCATTGACATTGATTCCATGTAGATTACAGATAGAAACAAACAAAAACAGCAGACAATTTAAAAAACAATGCACTTTTATTACTGCAATTAAAATCTTAGATAATTTGTAAATGCTCATTATTATCAAACTGACTTTAGAGATAGAGTATTTGTACTATTTCATTTCACAAATAAAGCAGGGCTAATTGTTAATTTTTACCATTTTGAGAAGTACATTATGTATGCTATTTACAATTGTATGTATATTATTAAGTGATAGTCTCCAAAGCAAATTTTATTTTATTTGTTACGATGGTTAGGAAACTACCCGCCTATATGACTGAAATACTGTTGGGAAAAGGCGTAAAATTAAACAAACAAACAAACAAATTTTATTTGTTCACAATTCTTCTTTGGTATTTTCATTGCTATTATATTTCATTCTAGTTTTACCTTTTCATTCCATTAACATAATAATAAGTCCCATAATATACCAAAAAGCATTCAATGTTTTAGCCTATAGAAAATTAAATTTTTACTATCTTTAAGGATTAAGTACTTGTACTGATTTATAAAAGATAAAATGTTTTCTATAATGTTTATATTAAGGATTGACACTTTACCCCATATTGTCACCAGCTAAAGTAAGCAAGGTGTGTTTATAATGACTTTAAGATGCCATTTAGGTTAGCATTATATAATTTTATTCAACCCATTCAATTAAGTCAGTATTAAACTTACACTCATTCTATATCCTCTATTAATTTTAGTATTAATTTATCAGGAGAGAAATTGTATTATACAAAAATCTTTAGAAGAGTATTTAAAAGATATTTGAAGTACTTTGATACATATTTTTGAATATCTTATCAGGTCTTTTAATGAAAAAACATTTTAAGTCCACCATGTATTTAAAATGATTAATTCAAAGATTAATCAGATAATTTCATTTTAATTTGTTCTGAAATCTTTGAAATATTAATGTTTTGACAACCATGCAACATTTGCAGCATGATTGCATAAATTTATCCAGTTCAGTCTCTATTAAGTATGATTAAAAGAATTAACCCTGTTATAAAAGCTATAAAGGTGATATTTTAAGTGTTTTTGAAGAGTTTATTAGCTTGTTAGCTGTAAATTTAATTCTGACAAAAAAAATTGTTATGTCATAGTAGTTAAAAAACACATCATAAATATTGGTTAGTAGTTGGTTCAAAATCTCCTCATTTTGTCAATTGTAAATGGTTCTAATTCTCCACATTTAGTGATCAATGATTGATTCATATTCTCCATTTAGTGGTTGGTAAATGGTTCATTTAACTCTCCTTATTGAATGGTTGGGAAATGATTCATGTAAATCTGCTCATTTAGTGGTTGATAAATGTTTTATGTAACTCTCCTCATTTAGTGGTTGGTAAATGGTTCATTTAACTCTCCTCATTTAGTGGTTGGTAAATGTTTTATGTAACTCTCCTCATTTAGTGGTTGGTAAATGGTTCATGTAACTCTCCTCATTTAGTGGTTGGTAAATGGTTCATGTAACTCTCCTCATTTAGTGGCTGGTAAATGGTTCATGTAACTCTCCTTATTAAGTAGTTGGTAAATGGTTCATGTAACTCTCCTTATTAAGTAGTTGGTAAATGGTTCATGTAACTCTCCTTATTAAGTAGTTGGTAAATGGTTCATGTAACTCTCCTTATTAAGTAGTTGGTAAATGGTTCATGTAACTCTCCTTATTAAGTAGTTAGTAAATGGTTCATGTAACTCTCCTTATTAAGTAGTTGGTAAATGGTTCATGTAACTCTCCTTATTAGGTAGTTGGTAAATGGTTCATGTAACTCTCCTTATTAAGTAGTTAGTAAATGGTTCATGTAACTCTCCTAATTAAGTACAGTAAAAACTCGCTAATGAGACCAATAAAGGGACTTTACAAATCTGGTCTTAATAGCGGGTTGGTCTCATTAATGAGTTTGGTCAAACAGAAAACCGGGCAATATATTAAGGGATACCATGTACTGTACACATGTTTAATTCTGGGCTAACCTTTTTCAAATGAGAAGATATTAAGCATACACTATTATTTTTTTATTTTCATTAATTTTCTTTTACTTTTTATCATTATAAATTTTTTAAACTTCTTTAGAGGTACAAAATGTATTATGAATGTCTTTAAACACAAACATATTTTTACATTCTTGTTAAAAGAATGACATGACTTACTCAATTAAATCACCATTTTACTACAAAGCACATCGACCAATTAACCTTTAATTATTTTCACAGTTTTCATCGCCGATAACAACTTCAAAAGCCAAATCGTATCATGTTTATGTTTGTTTAAAATTATGGAAGGAAAGAGATAATGATAGCAGCAACACCTCTAAAAAACTTATTGAATTTTTTCTGTTCAATATTTTGTTGTTTTAATCCTCCAGTTATGACATTAAAGGTGTGAAATTAAGAAATTATCGACAATATTATTGATCATTTCCGGGTTTGATACAAAGTAACCTTGACCTCTGCCGTAAATTGGATGTCGTTAAATGTCGTAAAACCAGTACAACTGTTGTTTACACTACGGGTCAAAAATTTTTCAGCAATATACATGCTTGTCAATATCAAGTTGAGAAAGTGCCCGCGGTCGTATTTGTACAGAATTTACGAAATGGGACTGAATTTACTGGTCGTATTACGGAATAACGGGGTGGTCTCAAAATCGGGGTTAGCGACCATTGAAATAAAGAATAAAAAAATCGGGTCTTTGAAAAATCGTTCGTATTAGCGGGTTGGTCTCGAAAACGGGGTGGTCGTAAAGCGGGTTTTTACTGTAGTTGTTAAATGGTTCATGTAACTCTCCTTATTAAGTAGTTGGTAAATGGTTCATGTAACTCTCCTTATTAAGTAGTTGGTAAATGGTTCATGTAACTCTTCTTATTAAGTAGTTGGTAAATGGTTCATGTAACTCTCCTTATTAAGTAGTTGGTAAATGGTTCATGCAACTCTCCTTATTAAGTAGTTAGTAAATGGTTCATGTAACTCTCCTTATTAAGTAGTTGGTAAATGGTTCATGTAACTCTCCCTATTAAGTAGTTGGTAAATGGTTCATGTAACTCTCCTTATTAAGTAGTTGGTAAATGGTTCATGTAACTCTCCTTATTTAGTTCTTGATAAATGGTTCATGTAACTCTCCTTATTAAGTAGTTGGTAAATGGTTCATGTAACTCTCCTTATTAAGTAGTTGGTAAATGGTTCATGTAACTCTCCTCATTTAGTGGTTGGTAAATGGTTTATGTAACTCTCCTCATTTAGTTCTTGGTAAATGTTTTATGTAACTCTCCTCATTTAGTGGTTTGGTAAATGGTTCATATAACTCTCCTCACTTAGTGATTGGTAAATGGCCTCGACCAACTTTCAAAAGAAAAAAATCTATGTATTATCATTTAATGATTTCTTTTCTTTGTTCTGGTAGGCCAATGATAGAGATGACTATACCATCAAGCTTAGACCCTACTATCGCTCCACCAGGTCACCATGTTGTTCTACTGTTTACACAATATACACCATATACCCTGGCAGACGGACAGACATGGGATGATCAAACTAAGAATGAATATGCTGACACTGGTATGTATGAGCTACTAAGTGCAAGCTAAATTTTAAATAGATTGGAATTATTATTATAGAACTTGCATTTCCAAAAATGCTAGGAATCGCTGTTAAGCCAAGTATACAAAATGTATTATTATAAGCATTATATTAGCATACCACTTGTAATAGGTGTCATGGCAGTAATAATCATCATAAAATATGACCAGTAATAAGTGCTGAGATAATACTACTTGTACAATAATAATCAGCATACAAATACTACCAGTACCACTATATGCAAGGTTTTACACTAATGTCCGTTCTGGACATATTTTAATGTTGAAAACTCAATTTTTAATATTTATGTATGAAAGTAATAATCAGACAAATTGATGTGGAAAATGTTCGAAAGGAATGTATATTTGTTTCAGTATTTAACAGTATAGAACAATATGCCCCTGGTTTCAAGGAGAGTGTGGTTGGGCGAGATATTCTTACACCTCCTGATCTAGAGGCAGTGTTTGGACTCACAGGAGGGGTAAGTGACAAATATGATAGATAATTCAATGTTCTTTGATAAACAAAAATAAGAATAAGTGCGAAGAAATGGTAGTTAAGCAAGGCAAGTGTATATAAGAATAAGTGCAGATATAATGTCAGGCTACCTAGACTGATGATAATTACATTTGTATATAAGTAGTATGTATAATTTAGGGTGGAGATGTTAATTTTGCATTTGTCATTCTAGTTCATATGCACAATTTGGGGGTCAAATGTGGGATCATTTGATTTTAAAGGTTTTAAAGTGTGAAAATAATTGTAAAGCATTTGAACAATAAATTTTGAAACATGGAAACGATTAGACTAAGTTTTATTAGATATTTAGAATTAAAGGAAAGATAATGAAGTTGATTGAACAACATTAAGCAGGTGAGCTTACTACAATGTACATGTAATTTACTTGTTAAAAATTTGATTAATTCTAAAACATGCAGTGTTGCATGATAAAGCACTATAGAGCTATACAATGATGTAATAAATAAATAATTAAACCACTTGAAGGTGTATGTTTGTCAAAATCTGCATAGTCATATTGATGTATTGAACATTTTTTTATATACACATATACATTTCAGAACATTTTCCATGGAGCAATGTCTCTTGACCAGTTGTACATGGTACGACCCACATCAGCTCTCAGTGACTACAGATCACCCGTGTCCAGACTGTATCTGTGTGGGAGTGGAGCTCATCCTGGTAAATATGTCTATTTAATCATAAACAATATGGAATTATATGGCCAAATTTTATTTTGCCATTTCTAGGTCAGCTCTTGATAAACAATTTTATCTTAATGAACAGACTTTAACAGTTGTATAGCAAAAAATTTTACTAACTTTACTTTTTTGAAAGAAAAAAAAAGTTTTGCAAGGTGATAAATTGTCTTATTTTACCTTCCTTTCTTCTTAGTGTTTTACAGAATTTGTTTATAGTCTGATTGTGTAGGAAACTATAAGCTTAATGGCAACAAGTGTAAAGTTTCTTGCCTAAGGCAACAGTGGCTTGCTTACCCTATTCAAACAACTTTTTTTAGTCATAAAGGACAATTTTTACTTGTTTTATTTAGACAGTTTGCAACATATTTACATGTTTACCTTACCAATTGAACTGCGTCAAGAAAAATTACAGTTAAATTTATGTACTGACTCATTTGTTTCAGGGTATAACATGATTTATATTATAGATGACTTTTCTCAGAAGATAAACTGTTAAATACAACAACAACAGTAATTAAAATTTGGGCGTGACATTTTAAATGAGGAGCAATTTTAATAAAATGTTTTACACTTATATGTCAAATTTACACATTTTTTGCATCAGCTTACCCAAAATAATTTAATAACTGATGAATTATTGGTACATATCTAATACAACGAAATCTTAAGCTCACTGTTACCCATGCAGCCAGTGCAGACCAAGATCAGCTGGCACAGCCACATACATTATGAACTGCACTGTTCACTATTCAGTCACTCCATATTTTGAAATTTTCCCTATAACAAATGAATTTTTTTTGTCTATATTGAAAGATGGCTTAGTCTTAAATATAATGTTAGATTTTAAGTGGGATAAGGGTGAAATGAATTTATAAATGTAAAGGTAATATTAATTTTGCTATTTCAGGAGGTGGAGTGATGGGGTCTGCTGGTAGAATTGCTGCACTGACTGTGATGGAAGACCGTAAAAAACTTAAATTCTAAATTATTATTTTTCTCTTTTATGCAGTATTTTGTTTTTTATATTGTTTTTAAGCATAAAGCCAGTATATTCAAGTGTTGTATACAGTATTTGTCTTTAGTTTCTTTAAGTAATGATAGGTGATGTAGGAATAGTATTAACTTGTTAGTCATTGTGTTTGTTTTGTTCTCATCAAGGTGATTTTATATATACACTGTATAATTTATTTATCTTTTTTATGCCCCCGGGCATATAGTAATTGAACCTTCCGTCCGTCTGTCCGTACGAGGTTAACCTAGAACGGCAAGTTCGATTTTTCTTAAGTTCTACCTGTACCAATGGCTCCTAAGTTTACACACTTACTAATCAATACAAAGTACATGATCTGGGCAAGTTACATAACTCTGGCTTTCATATTTACCAAGTTATTGCCCTTTTCAGCACTTAGAAAATTAATAATGGTTAACCTTAAACGGCAAGTTTGAAATATCTTAAGTTCTATCTATACTAATGGCTTTATAATTTCTACACTTACTTATCAATACAAAGTACAGGATATTGCCAAGTTATATAACAGTGTCATCCATATTTCCCAGTTATTTCCCTTTTCTCACTTTGAAAATGGGGCCTTGTCTGGTTAACCTCGGCAAGTTGGATTTATCTTGAATTTCTCCTAATTGCTTAATTTCTTTAATGATATCTTTCATATTTAGTAGTTGGATACCTTTGATGGTCCTCTAATTTTTGTGGAGTAAGCGGTCTCTAGGGTCAAGGTCAAGGTCACTGGTTTAAAAAATTAATATATAAATTTTTGCTCATACAGCCTTTATTTTTTAGTTGATGTCTTAGTTTAATACAAACATGCCAAGGGAGGTCCTCCTTCTTTGGGTGTAGTAAGGGGTCATTTGGGTCAAGGTCACTGTTACCAATGTCAAGGTCACCAATGTTAAAAATAGATTTTTACATTTTTAGCTCGACTATTCGAAGAATATGAGAGCTATTGTAGTCGGCATCAGCGTCGGTGTCTGCGTTGGTTAAAGTTTTTTGTAAATTCAAATATCTCAATTATTGCTTGAGATATTCAATTGAAACTTACAATACTTATTTATAGTAACAATGTACATCAGATTGACAAGTTGGATAACTCTGCCTACAATATTGACAGAATTATGCCCCTTTTTAACTTAGAAATTTTGGTTAAAGTTTTTTGTAAAGTCAAATATCTCAATTATTGCTTGAGATATTCAATTGAAACTTACAATACTTTTTTATAGTAACAATGTACATCAGATTGACAAGTTGGATAACTCTGCCTACAATATTTGCAGAATTATGCCCCTTTTTAACTTAGAAATTTTGGTTAAAGTTTTTTGTAAAGTCAAATATCTCAATTATTGCTTGAGATATTCAATTGAAACTTACAATACTTATTTATAGTAACAATGTACATCAGATTGACAAGTTGGATAACTCTGCCTATAATATTTGCAGAATAATTTGCCCCTTTGAAACTTAGAAATTTTGGTTCAAGTTTTTTTGTAAAGTCAAATATCTTAATTATTGCTTGAGATATTCAATTGAAATTTACAATACTTTTTTATAGTAACAATGTACATCAGTTTGCAAATTTGCATAACTCTGCCTGCAATATTTGCAGAATAATTTGCCCCTTTGAAACTTAGAAATTTTGGTTAAAGGTCTTCAAAGATATTTACTTGAAACTTTACACATGTACTTAGGGTCATAATTGGAGAGTCATAATTGTATGTCACTGACCAAGTTCCATAACTCTACTCGCATTTAGGCTGATTCATCTCCACTTTTCTACTTAGTCTCTTGGTTAATGTTTACATGCAAGTTTTACATATCTCAATAACTATTAAAGATATTTATTTAAAACTTCACATATGCATTTAGAATCATAATTGTAGGTCACTGACCAAGATCCATAATTCTATCTTGCATTTAGGCTGATTTTTCTCCCCTTTTTCAACTTAGAAATTCATGGTAAAGTTTTGCTTGTAAGCTGTTATCTCCATAACTACTGAAGAGTTTGTGCCTTTTTTGGGACATTTTTATGCATTCATAATAATAAAGCAGTGATTTACTTGATAAAACATCTTAATAACAAGCCTTTGTACCTTTTCGGTCAATTTTATGTATTCATAGGTAATTAGCATTATTTTACTCAATAAAACACCCTTGTGACAATTTTTTAATAGTCGAGCCAATACTGTCCTCCGACAGTTCTTGTTACAGGTGTATTGACCTTATTCTATAGACAGATGTTATTTATAATTGATAGAAACATAAACTTTGATGGAGTCAGTGGTCATTTGGGTCAAGGTCACCAGTGCTAAAAATAGATTTTTACACATTTGCTCATACAGTCTTTATTAAGTGACAGATATATTTTATATTGGTAGGAAGATAACTTGCATGGTATTCATCCTTTTGATTGGGGTAGGGATCAGTGGGTCAAGGTCACTTGTGCTAAAAATAGATTTTTACACTTTTGCCCATACAGCCTTTATTTATTGACAGATGTATTTCATATTTGGTAGGAAGATAACTTACATGGTATTCTTCTTTTGGATAGAGTTAGGGGTCAGTTTGGTCAAGGTCACCAGTGCTCAAAATAGATTTTTACACTTTTGCCCATACAGCCTTCATTTAATGACAGATGTATTTAATATTTGGTAGGAAGATAAATTGCATGAAGTTGAATATTTTTCAACTTCACAAAACAGAGCAATGACTTTGCAACTTATATTTTTGACAATTACAAAATGCCATGACTTTGTAAAGCTATATAACTTGTGCTTACAATTTTTTGGCAATTTTTCTGTCCATAACTGAGTGAATGGGTAAACATTTTTTGAAATATTGCTACTGACAAGAATCTGAGCCGGGGGGCATTTGTGTTTAACAAACACGTTCTTGTTTCTGGTTGTTGTTTATCAAAACTATTAAGTATACAATTTAGTCTTCGTGTTGTTGGTTTTCATTTTTGCTTTGAATATGTACAAGTTATCAAACACTGCAACAATGCTCATTATACCGTAAATATAAGTAAGATAACAATTTTTATTGTTTTTGTTATAATGATCAGTTCATAATGACGTAAATGATAACCAGAATGTATTAATTTAAAATTTGTGTATCAAGCTATATCAAATGAAATATTTTATAGAAAAAACAGTTACATGATGTGGTTTTCATAACCTTATGATTGTTTCTTAAAGTATGTGTTACAAAGAATATCTATGTAGTTTAATATACATGAATATGGTATGTAAACAAAATAAAGTGTTGTGGAATAAAATATTCCGCTGCTTTCTTAGCCCTGTAACTAACATTGGTATAGAGGTTGTCTTGTTATAAGTTATAACAGTCATTATTGACTTTTACCTATTTTATACAAGTATTTTGATTTTGTACATAATTCATTAAATGATAATAAACTCATCCAAATAAATAAATAGAAAAATGCATTATGCAAAAATGGGGGGAAGGTGGGGATTATTATTGAATGGCGGAAAAAAAGAGATCATTATGTATGAACATTTTTTATGAAATATCTTAGTTTTGTTGGACCAGTTATAGTGTCAGTTTGTTTTACCAGTTATTATGTTTGTTGGTTGGACTAGATACTATATCTGTTTGTTCAACCAGTCATTTTGTCTGTTTTTTGGACCAGTTATAATGTCTGATTATGTGACCAGTTTTTATGTCTGTTTGTTGTTCCAGTTACTATGACTGTTTTGGGACCAGTTATTATGTCTGTTTGTGTGACCAGTTATCATGTCTGTGGGACCAGTTATATCTGTAAGACCAGTTATTACATGTATGTCTGTTTTTTGGGGCCAGTTATTATGTCTGTTTTTGGGACCAGTTATTATGTCTGTTTATGTGACCAGTTATTTTGTCTGTGGGACCAGTTATTATATCTGTAAGACCAGTTATTACATGTATGTTTATTTTTTGGGACCAGTTATTATGTCTGTTTTTGGGACCAGTTTTTATGTCCATTAATTATTGATGAACAAATATAGAACAGATATATAATTGGTTGTTGCTTTTGTCTACACAGAAAAGGATAACCATTTGCCTGCTGGGGGCAGTTTGATGCTGTCAGATGTCCATGTACACTGTTTGTTATTCATTCAGTTTATTTTTTAGAATTTTCCCTTAAAAATAGTAAATGTTCCTATCAAGAATGAAAGATGAGGAAAAGCAGGGAAAAGAATATTGAATAAACAATTTAACATCAATGTAAAACAAAATATAAATTACCCGTATTTAAGCTAACAAAGTCAGAGCAAAGGCAAAGACCTGGGAAAAAGGATTGTGATATTTAAATTTTTTGTTAAACATACATTTTGAGAAAGTCTTAATTCTATAAACATTTTACTTTATGGATATATATTATGTGTTGCCATGGAGATACATAAATCTCTGATAAATGAAACATTCAGAAGTGGTAATGTGATATCTGTTTAAAATGTGTGATGTTTTTTATACCTTCTTATACATGTATTAGGTGAGCTTTATGTGATATATTTGAAAGTTAAATAAGATACATAAATTTGATAAGGTATGATATTATATTTAAAACTTTGTGATGTTTTTTTTTTAGATATAATGAATATACTATTGTAGAATAAAATATATAACTTTAATAAGGTAGCAAATTTTGCTTAACATACCTTATCGTGATATTTAGATATTTATATACTATGTATATATACATTTTAATATGTTATAAAGATAAATAAAATTTGGTAGAAGCTTACATTTTTTGGGTTATATTTTCTGCTGTTCATGATGTAGTAAAGCTCATTGATTTGATAACCTTTCATATGTAGAAATTTTGCCAGTAGGTCAAAGGTCAAAATTGGATGTCATCAATATGACAGGTTTTCTGAAAGGGAAAAAACTGGTTATTTAGTGGTGAATGTTAGTGTACTGGCATAATCAATTTCTCCTCAACAAATTATAACCAGTCTTTCACAGAAGTATCGTCACTGAGATTCCTTCCTTATGTCCATTGCCTAAGAGTCCATCATCAAAGCCTATTGTTGGGTTTTGTGATTTTTAGCTAGAGAGCTTTCGTAATCTACCTGTGGTCTCCATCCAGATTTCTGGTTCAAGTTTTTAATTTAATAATTTTTACTACAACTTCTTTATTTCTTGAGGGATTTACTTCAAACATTGAAATGTGCGTCCAGCGTCCGTCCGTCCGTGAACTTTTACTTTAAATGACATCTCCTCATAAACCACTAAGTCAATTTCATCCAAACTTCACAGGAATGTTCCTTTGGTGGTCACCTTTAAAAATTGTTCAAAGAATTTAATTCCATGCAGAACTCTGGTTGCCATGGCAACCGAAAGAAATTTTTTTAAATATCTTCTTAAAAAAAACCCTAAGAGCTAGAGCTTAGATATTTGGCATGAAACATCTTCTAGTGAGTGTCTACAAAGTTTGTTCAAATAAAAGCCCTGGGGTCAAAATTGGCCCCGCCCCAGGGGGTCATTGATTTTCCCTATATGCACATAGTAAAAACTTAAAAAATCTTCTTTTAAAGAACTCAAAGAACTAGAGCTAAGATATTAAGCATGAAACATGTTCTAATGGATGTCTACCAAGTTTGTTCAAATAAAAGCCCTAGGGTCAAAATTGGCCCCGCCCCAGGGGGTCATTGATTTTCCTTATATGTATATAGCAAAAACTTAAAAAATCTTCTTTGAAAAAACCCAAATAGCTACAGTTTAGATATTAAGCCATGAAACATCTTCTAGTGAGTGTCTACCAAGTTTGTTCAAATAAAAGCCCTGCCGGGTCAAAAATTGGCCCCGCCCCGGGGGTCATTAATTTTCCTTATATGTGTATAGCAAAAATTTAAAACTCTTCTGTGAAAAAACCGAAATAGCTAGAGTTAACATATTAAGCATGAAACAACTTCTAGTTAGTGTCTACAAAGTTTGTTCAAATAAAAGCCCTGGGGTCAAAACTGGCATCGCCCTAGTGGTGTCCTTGTTTTTAACTATATGTGTATAGTAAAAACTTTAAAAAATCTTCTTTGAAAAAACCCAATGAGCTCAGAGCTTAGATGTTTAGCATGAAACATCTTCTTATGAGTGTCTACCAAGTTTGTTCAAATAAAAGCCGTTGGACTAAAATTGGCCCTCCCAGGGGTGGGGGTGGGAGGCCTATATACAGGTGAGCGACCTCAGGGCCATCATGGCCCTCTTGTTTTTTACAAAATTTTTTAAAAAATCTTAAAGAGCTTGAGGTAAGATAATTGGCATGAACATCTTCTAGTGGATGTCTTCCAAGTTTGTTCAAATAAAAGCCCTAGGATCAAAATTGGCCCTGCCCCAGGTGTCATTGATTTTCCTTATATGTATATGGTAAAATCTTGAAAAATCTTCTTGTGACAATCCAAAAGCATTATAGATTAGATATTTGGCATAAAACACCTTCTATTTGATGTCTACCAAGTTTGCTCAAGTTCAAAATTTGCCAGGGGTCAATGGTCATTGATTATATAGTTAAAACTTAAAAAAATCTTCTTGTGTGAAATCCAAGAGGTAGAGCTTAGATATTTGGCACAAAACATCTTCTAATGGATGACTATAAAGTTTGTTCAAATAAAACCCCTAGTGCCTCATTTTCCTTTTATGTATATAGTCAGAAATTTTCATGTGACAATCCAAAAGCACTATAGATATTTGGCATGAAACATCTTCTAATGGATGTTTACCAAGTTTGTTCAAATAAAGCCCTTGGACTAAAATTGGCCCCAGGCCCAAAAAGGGGGATCCCAAATTTGCCTTTTTTTTTAAAAAATTGTTAAAAACTTAAAAGAGCTTGAGGTTAGATAATTGGCATGAACATCTTCTAGTGGATGTCTTCCAAGTTTGTTCAAATAAAAGCCCTAGGATCAAAATTGGCCCTGCCCCAGGTGTCAAATGTTTGTTTTTCTGTCATCTTTTTATTAGTCACCTTTCACTGAGTGACAGGCTGAACTGTTTAATAAAATGGCTGCCAGAGCTAAAATTAGAAAAACAACAACATCTAAACCACTGTTTCAATTTTGAAATAATTTTTCTCAAAATTTCCTTGCTGACAGTGTACAAAAAGTATTCAGATTAAGCTGTATCTCGTTTTCAAATTGTGCTTCTGGGGTGATAAGGGGCTCCACATTGACATTTTGACCTATTTCTCAGGTTAGCGATCCAGGACCCTCTGGGCCGTCTTGTTTAAATTATTTAATACTACCTTTGTATCATATATGCCATTTTGTCCAAGTAAGTATGAATTATTTTGTTGATGAATAACAAAGACATAGAATAGTAGAACATTCCATGATTTGGAAGTGCAATATTCACAAATCGTCGTTCACTTCGTCATGGGGAGAAGATCCCGCTCAGGTTTAATATAATTTTCCTTTTTTTCGCCACAGCTTAAAGCCTTAATTTCTACACGGAACTGCATTTATCGATTTAATAATATGAAAAAGTTATGATAACTTTGTCAAATATTTACTAATTAGTTTCATGTTCGGGTAAAGCAACATTTATGACAAAACCTACATGCCGAATTATGACCTTGACATTAACATGACGACGACCTTCAATGTCAGCTTATTGAATTTTATATATCAACTTTAGATCTACATATCTATTGTCAGAATTGAATTATTTTTATGAATTTTATTTTAAAGTATGCCCCCCCCCCCCGATTCATGTTAATTCTAACGATTTTTTTTTAAATATATTAAAAAATTAAATAGTGTCAAGTAAACAAAGAAAGTAATTTACACATTGCAAACGTCACTTAAAATGCTGGTCGCAGGCCCATTGTGTTGGTTTTGTCGTGACGCGGCTCATTTGTGTTCAGACTGGGTATGTCACGCGGATATAGGTCACAGACTACACGCGCATTAGTCTGTAAATATAAAAAATAGGAGCGTTGCCTTACGTAACAAAACCTAATCGACATATCAAGACAAATTGAGATAATAAAAAAATCGTTTGGTGTACATTAACCTCGTTTAAATCAACTTTTCTCCGCTATAAGTTTTTTATTTTATCATTTTTTTGAATCAATTTGTCATTATTGGGAATATAATAATTTTCTCACACTTTCTCGTAGCCTGAAGTTATATACAAAAGAAGAAACTTTAAATCAAACTTTTCCTTTTCTTTATGAAAGGATCCCTTCACCTTTTTTTTTAAAAATGCGATTATTTGCTAGCCTACTTTGTCCTTTTTTTTACCCGAATTTAATTGTTTCATAATTTTTCGAATGTATCATGTTGTCACTTTTTGTGAACTGATGAAAAATAAAGATATTTTGACTTTGACTTTGACTACAAGCATTATTACTTGTATCTTGATATTTCTACTTTTCTTAAACTCTAAGAACAATTTTTCTCAAGTTAGATTTTCTTGAAAAGTTTTTGCTCATCTTGAGGCATGTAGCTTAACCCTTTCACTGCCATAGGGACAGCATATGCCTTCTCTATTATTTTCGGCGTATTTGCCATATGGACGGCTTTTGCCGTTTCTATATTAATAATAATAATAGTTATAATAATTATAATTATAATAATAAATATATAGATAATTATACCATCGACAATAATTATTATATACTAGCAGATTTGGAAACATATTTAATTATTATAATACAAATAACAAATAATGATAATTATATAAATTAATAATATAGTAATTTCTTAGAAAACCTTCTGGCAAATAGGTGATCAATAAATCTGGCAGCGAAAGGGTTAAGGTCGATTCGTAGAATGTCTCCGTGAATACTGTACGTAAATAGAATAAAATGTTTGCGGAACAAAATATTATGCTGCTATTTTAAACATGTACACTTTTAATCGTTTTAGCAATGAGTTAATATATGCCTAATTTACTCTTGAAAAGTATACAAACACATTTTTTTATATTACAAAATTCATATATATATATATATTTTATACACGATAATTATGGACAAATACTATTTATACTTGGAGAAAACAATACAACGCTGGCATGTTGAATACTTCAAGCTTTACTGATTGTGATTCTGAAGGTCAAATATGAAATTCTAATGAAATTCTGTACAAGAAGAAGTGTACATCTTTGAACAACTTTCACCTTAATGTTCTTCTTTCGACGTGTTTGCAATAAGAATTGGGAAAACGTCTGGCGTGCCCAGCTTAAGGTGGTGTTTGTTTTACAGAATTATACCCTTAATTGTCTTTCATAGCAGTTCAGATGTTCTCTCATTGTTTATATCCATTAAGAGTTTGATTTGGTGTGTACTGTACAAGAATGATAACTATTTCTAGTAGTATTTTGCTCAATGTTGCTCAATTATTAACTGTTCGTTGATTATGGGGAGCACCTATCGTTTTTCATCTATTACTTATCTTTTCAACACAAGTTTGTGAGAGGTTGAACGACATTACCTGAAAGTCTGGAAAGGAAACAATAAGTAATATGCTTGTTCACATCAAAAAAGTAAAGGCATCAACAAATGTCGACCGAAAAAAATGTTGTTTTTGGTAATTTTCCATTTTGTTCAGATGTATTTAAAGAAATTGTGTTTTATGTGAATGAAATTAGAAATTTTAAAACTATGACAAAAAATATAGATTTAATGTATATAAACCATGTTTCTATTTCTTTTTTTTTCTTTTTTCTTTCATTTTATATATCCTTTTGTTTTATTTTTCGTTGCTTAACAATGTATGTGTACCTCCACGCTCAATCATGTTATTAGTT